CTTTTATCTTTCATCAAATTTCAGAAGTTTTCAATCTTATTTTTAAAAATATTCTTTCTGCTCTTTTTCTTTTTCCTTCTGGACATCCCATAATGTGTATTTTGGTATGCTCCATGGTGTCTGCAGGTTCCTTAGGTTCTGTTACTTTTCTTTATTTCTTTTGTCTTTCTGCTCCTCAAACTGAATACTTTTAACTTATTCTTTATTCTGATTGCTCAAATCTATTGCTGAGCATCTACTCAACTTTACATTTCAGTTATAGTACTTTTCGGCTCCAGAATTTTTATTTGGTTTCTTTTTATAATTTCTATCTATTGATATTCTCATTTTGTTCACAGGTAGTTTTCCTGATTTTCTTTAGTTCCTTATCCATGGTTCCCTTTAGCTCTTTGAGTGTATATGACAGTTGATTCAAAGTCTTTGTCTATTTGGTCCAATGATTAAACTTCTCAGGGACGGTTTGTTGATTTTTTTTTCCTGTCAGTGGCCATATTTTCCTAATTCTTTGTATGCATTGTAATCTTTGCTAAAACCTAAGCATTTTGAATATTATGCTTTGCTAACTCTGAAAACCAGACTCTCCCCTGCAGTTGTCCATTTGCAGGGTAGCTTGAAAAGTCACTAAACAAATGGAAAAGACTGTATTTCTTGTCATGTGCAGTCACTGAAGACTCTGTTCTGTTATCTTTGTAATTAGCCAGAGAACTGACAGAGATTTCCTTAAATGCCTAGAGCCAGGAAGAAAAAAATACATATAGTACTGTCTTTGCAGTTCAGCTCTGAGCTGGAGCATTCCTTCAACACTAAGCCAGGCTACCTAAGCCTCTTCCTTTGCCTTGATCTCCTATTTCCACAAAGCCCACAGATCTGCCAGAGGTAGTTACCTAACATCTGCTCAGGTCTTTTCAAAGCATGTGTCAGCTCCTGGGCCTGTTTAATTTCCCATGTATTTACAATGGCCCTTTGAGCCCCTGTTCCAATAACCATTCTCCTCAGCCTTCTCTTTGCCAGGTTTTTAGATTCTGTCTGCCGCTTGTCCCATCTGTCATCCCTTGCCTCAAACAGGCACAGAGTGTGCATGTCCTTATATCTTTCGATAGTTGTCGCTATCACCATGAAAGCCAAACCAGTCCAAGACCGAGGGGGCAAATCAAAAGTCAGCCTCTGTGCTAGTCTCTCAAGGAACCACCAGACAAACCAAATCCCATACCACACCATGTTAATAACAAGGCCCATATCAGCCCTCTGGCACCAGGAAGCCGCACCAGGAACATTAGCCACCAGCCCCAAAGCTGCTGCCACAGCACTGAAAGATGAAAATGGTAGTTCGCTGGACAGAGACACCACAAGGCTCACACTGAATTTCAACGACCCTTCTCCTTATTACTCAGTCCCCTCCTTGCTATAAACTTCGGATTCGATTCCAGAGTTTCAAGAAAGTTGATTCTGTCAGTCTTTCCCAGCTGATGGTTGTTTCAGTGGAGGGATGGATTCTTTAGGCCCCCTACCCTGGTCTCCTAAGAATTACTTCAGGCTTACACACCTCCACCGAAGATAACCAAGTGCACACATTGGGAGCAGCCTCAGGGCTGCAGACGGGGCATGGTAGCAGCCCGAACCCCCAGTGTGATTACGGTAGCAGTTTGAGATCTACCGCATGTTCTAGTTTGTCTTTGTACTGAATTATGTCTTACCAGCTATCTCAGTTGTGTTCACTTACGCCTTGCCACACAGTTCAATCCAAGTGCTTGTTCCCATCTGAATGACATATTTCAGTAGTATATGTACATTTTTATTGTAAAATACACATAACATAAAATCTACCATTTTAACCATTTTAAAGAGTAAAATGTGGTGGTATTAATTATGTTCACAATGTTATACAACCCATCGCTAGTGCTAGTCCCAGAACTTTTTCATCATCTTACACAGAAATCCCATAACCCATTCCACTTCCCCTCAGCCCACAGCAACCACTGATCCACTTTCTGTTTCTGTGGATTTGTCTATAATGGATATTTCATGTAAGTGGAATCATACAATTTGTGAGCCTTTGTGTCTGGCTTCTTTAACTTAGCATAACTTTTTCAGAGTTCATCAATGTTTTAGCAAATATCAGCACTTCATTCCCTTTTATTGCCACATAATACTTTCTCATTTGGATATACCACACTTCCTCTGTTTGTCAGTTGGTGAGTTGTTTCCAGTTGGACTATTTAAATAATGCTGTTATGAGCATTTGTCTGCATTTTTTCATGTGGACATATGTTTTGAATTGTCAGAGAATTAGATATATACTTCAGAGTAAATAGCTGGGTCACAAAGCATCCTTAATTTTTAACATTTTAAAGAACTACCAAGCTGCTTTCCAGAGTAACTATATTAATCCATTAGTAATGAATGAAGTTTCTATTTTCTCTACCTTTTCTCCACAATAACACTTGTTATTGCCTGCCTTTTTATTTTGAGTCCTCCTAGTGGATGTGAAGTGGGATCATTGTGGTTGCGACTTGCATTTCCCCGGTGAATAATGATGTTGAGCATCTGCTCCTGTACCTGTTGGCCATTTGTATATTTTCTTTGGAAAAATGTCTATTCAAGTCTTTTGCCCATGTTTTCATCATGTTGTCTTTATGTTACTGGTTTTTAAAAGTTCTTTAGATGTTCTGGATACTAGAATCTTATTAGATATATGATTTGCAAATATTTTCTCCCATTCTGTAGGCTTTTTACTTTCGTTGATAGTATCCTTTAATACACAAAAAATGTTTACTTCTGACAAAGTCTCATTTATCTATTTTTAATTTTGTTGCTTATACTTTGGGTGTCATATTTAAGAAACCATTACCAAGTAGGAGATACAGCATCCCTTCCACTTTGAAAATAAACAATATATTGATGTTAAAACAAAAAAAAAAAAAAGGAGGGAAGAAACCATTGTCCAATTCCAAGGTCATGAAATTTTCATTCTGGTTTTTATAAGATTTTTACAATTTTACCTATTAGGTTTAGGTCTTTGATCCATTTTGAGTTAATTTTTGTATATGGAGTGAAATAAAAGTTCAGTACCTTTCGTTTACATGTGGTTATACAGTTGTCCAGCACCATTTGTTAAAAAGAAAGATGTTCTTTCTCCAATAAATGGCCTCGGGACTCTTACTGAAAATCAGTCTATCATAGGTATTTGGGTTTATTTTTGAACTCTCAGTTTCATGTCTTTTTGATGTTTTAAATTTTTCAGTTATTATCATCATTTTGTTTTTGTTAAAATGTAAGTTACTTCTTTTCACTCCACTTCTAACAATTAGGACACATTTCATTCAAATCCAAATGTTCCATTAACAAAAGTGATTCTGGTGGTGAGGGTGGAGAGGAGGAAGAAATGACCATCGTCCCTCTCTCTGACACGTCTTTCCCTCACTGCTGCTAAGAATGGATTGCTTTAAATTATCTCCATCAAGATGAATGCCCTGTTTTTCAGTTTACAGTTCCGTATTTCCCAACACAAAGAGTTTAATCTACATAGAAGAATTACTGTATGGTTTTGAATTTGACTTGTCTTTTCCAAACAGGAGAACACTGTTTTGAAAAATCTAAAGATTCAGATGGTGAACATTCTATTCTGTCATTCCTTGATTTGCTTTTTAATCTTATGTTCCGTAAAAGTATTGACATTTTTGTTTATACTTTGCTTAAAAATTGCTGTGGCAGCTGGTCGCAGCATAAACTGATACAGAACCAGAACAGTGACCGGTTTCCCTAGCAACAAGCTCTCCACATCAAGACAGACCCCTTCTGGCTCAGTCCCCCTAATTGATTCAAACAGCCCTCCCTGGAAAACATGGCAGGTGGGATTGGGTCACAAAGCAGAATCCAGGGTTGGAGTGTCTGTAAATGAATATTAGAAAAGAGAGAAAATTGTGAAGAGAAAAGACAGTGAGAATTCTCCTTGTAAGTGAAAAGGCGTTGCAAGTGAAGTGGAAATAGTGTATGCCAAAAATTAGTACTATTATTTTGATAATAAATTGGTAATGAATATTATTTTGATAAACATTTAATCAGTAGTTGGCTTATATTAGACTCTTGTGGTTCTTTCCCTGGCTTTCCAATGCTGCCTTGTTAGTTTCCCTTTCCTTTTACTTCTGCATTAAAGTGTGAAATTGTTAAGCCCCAGCTCTTAGCCCTCTGCTCTTTTCCCCTTTACTTTCTCAATTATGTCGATTTTGCTGAGAACACAGTAATTAAATGGAGCTCTTCGTGTCCAAATTGGTATTATCTAAGATACATTGTGCTTATTTTAAATAATGTTCCTGTTTAATTGAACTAGTAGCGTAGCAATAATTGCAATTTATGTAAATGACATCCTAGAAGCCTTCCCATGGTCCTTCACCAAGCCCTGGTGTTGGGCCCAGAACTGTAAGGGTACCCTCACTGTACTTCCTCCTGCTATCCTGGCAGTGTTAATCACGACAGAAATAAGTAAAAGTACACTGCTTTGGGCTTACTCAGCATGTGGGCTTTTGCGTTGTCATTATTACAGATGTTGATGACCTACCTAATGCTAAGTTACATTTAAGGAATACATGTACAGGAGAAACTGGTGTTTTAGGGGTTGTCTTCCCCTTACTTTTTTTTTTTTTTTCTTAATCATAGTTACTTTCAGGGTTTAAAAAATTTAGGCCTGAAATACAAAGTTATCACAATTGAAACTTTTTTATTCATTTTTGTTGTATCATTTTTTGAAACACTGTGCTGATAATTAGTGTTTTAAAAGTATTTTCACCTAGCGTTGCTAATGGTAGCAACCGCATGCCGTGGAAATTAATATGAGTGAATTTTACATTTAATTTGGAGAAAGGAGGCTTCAGAACATGCCCTGGAAATGTTTACTCACAAGATACATTGCAGATGCTTAATCTATTTATTTCTAGGAAGTATGGATATTTATTGTAATAAATTTGGCAAAACTAAATATATTTACATATATTCTCTTAATATAGGGCATCACATTTGACGAATTCAGGTCATTTTTCCAGTTTTTGAACAACTTGGAAGACTTTGCAATAGCCTTGAATATGTATAATTTTGCAAGTCGTTCTATAGGGCAAGGTAAGTAATCGTCTTTCAAAACTTAAAAGGAAAAATAATCATATGTTCTTTCTAGGAACTTTGACAACAAATTAATGAGACATTTCGTATTGGCCATCAAATTGCCTGAAAGTGTGGTGGTGTATGCTTCAATGGGAAATCTATTTTCCCTAAGCAGAGTTTAGGGGAGTTTGCTAAATTTTTCCATTAAACTTATTACTGGCCTTCATTTCATATTATGGGGAAGAGCTAACAATGCTTGTAAAGATCCAAAGAGGAAGAAACCTCATGGCCACTGGTAACATGGAGGGATACGTGTCTACCTATAGAAGAGCCAACTGGCCATGCCCAAACGTCATCACAGGATGATATTTATATTTCCGATTTTACCCTCCATCTCTGCTGACTCAGAAACCTGAATGTTGCCGCCAGAGCCCCCTCTGCTGTGGACTTACCTTAATCGAGTTTTATGAATAATATATAAAATTGAATGTTGATTTTGCATTAATTTACAAAGAAATACAGCTGTCACAGAATTCAGAATGCTGTCATCCTCAGGACCAGCTCATTCTTGCCCTGTAGACAGACTAACCAGTCCAGTCGTTTTTCTAGGATTCTGCGGCTATGACCACTTTCCCTTCCTTCATGGGCCATATCCTTTTTTAATATTCTTGCCACATGAGGACTTTCTATTTATGTCTTTGAAGTAATTTTACCTGTGTCTGCCATAATCTAGTAAGTGCTAATTCCCAAGTTTAAATCTCAGAGGACAGTCTTGTTATTCCCAAGTTCTGGGGAAAAGCCAAACTGTGGGCCCTAAGTGCTAATAAATTATCTCTCTCCCAAAAATGTAGATATTGAATCCCTCACTTAGCTGCATTCATGTATTCACTGAGTTAGAGAAATCTGAAAATTATTCATATTTCACCCTTTGTCTAGTGCAGATGTTCAAATAAGGCATCCTCTCAACTCAACCTACCTTAATGTTTTCAAACCAAAACTTTGGGAGCCCTGCCTTCACAGACCAGCATTTACTGCCATGATAAACCCACTAGTCAACCTTGAGAAGAAAAACAAGTCAGTATCTGCTTACCCGGTTCAGAATGGAAAGTTACTCTTTTATACTTTTTGTAACTGGGAATGAAGGAAATCAAAAGTGTGTTCTTGCAGGTGCTAGGAATAAGTATATCTCTCTTTTCCTCTCTGATGTTTCCTAGACAGCTCACAGAATAATCTTTCTAAGACATAGACCTCTTCTGCAACATACCTGCTATGGAAACTCTTCAGTTCCACAAGCTGACCCCATTCATCTCTCAGGGCTCAGCTCACATACAAATCGCAGGCTTTCCTAATCACTGCTCTTCCCTCTCCTTTCCCTACGACTCCACACTACAGACAGAAGTAATCATTCATGTCCAAGTTCTCATACACTTTGTTAATATCTGTGTGGTCCTGTGTTAGGTTATTTGGGCGGGTGTCTCATTGCCCATCTGAACTGTAAGTTTCTTGATAACGTATTCATCTTAATTTCTAAAGTGTCTGTCACTGATAGTAGGTGCTCATTAAACATCCACTGAATATGAATACATTATTAACCTAAGATACAGCTACTTCTTGGTCCTTTTAATTCAAACCACAAACATTTTCTGTTCCCTGAAAGATAGCATGACTAATGAAGAGTCATGTGTTACTAAGGTTATGACCCATGTTTAGAAAAACTTCTTTGATAACCTTTCTAGCAATTAACACATTATAAAAATAGTGTTAACTGTTTACTTCTTTTCTGTGACATTTATCTAGATGAATTCAAGCGTGCCGTCTATGTAGCTACTGGCCTCAAACTTTCACCACATTTAGTGAACACAGTCTTCAAGATTTTTGACGTTGACAAAGATGATCAATTAAGTTATAAAGAATTTATTGGAATTATGAAAGACAGACTCCATAGAGGATTCCGGGTAAACCAGTAAATTTGAAGCCTATTGATATCCTTTTTAAAAATCGAAGAAGGAAAAAACCCTAAGTTTCAAAAACAATGTATATAAATTCTTAAGGATATAAATGTGAAATGTTATATTTGAAAAGAAAAAACATAAGGTCATACTTACTTTCCAAAACACTTCAAGGTGATAGATAAAAGTTCATGCTCTTTAAAAATATAAATCAGTTTGAATTTCAGTAAGTTATTTTCATATTCAATTAATTTAATGTCTCCATCTCAGTTTGTGGGGAGAAATGTTGCCAAATATTTTTTGATTAATTCAGTCAGCACACAGGCAATTCAGACTTGGTACTATACAAAGAAATAGCATGATTCTCATTTTGCACGATGCAGATTTCCACTAAGCAATTCGAGACTCTTAAGTCACTGCATCTTCAGTACTTTAAATGGAGAACAAGGTAAAAAAAATTTTGCCTATTGAACTGTTTTTTTTTCCTGTTAACGCCTTATACTGAAAATTACTGATTTTTTTCCTCAGAAATATGTTTTAAGTTATGAAATATAGTGTAAGTCAACAAACATTTACACATTTAACATATTTGTGGATGTGCCACAAATGGAAAAAGAAAAAATTTTTCTAGTAACAGCTAGAATGTTCAGTCTTCTCTCTTTGTTAAGAATACCCCTAAGTATGATACATCTAAAAAGATAAAAAGTTATATATACCCCCCCAAAAAATCAAGATTCATCTGAAACGTTTTTAAAGATTTTTAATTATTTTTTAAAAATCCAGAGTGTTGGTACAGATACTGTGTACTTAACTGCCACCTAGCGGTCACTTGTTAACATTGGAGACTGATGGCACAAATAACCTGAAAGGATGGATATACGTTGAAAATCACCTATTTTTCCTCAAAAATTTTAGAGTAGCAAGATCGAATTAAAATATAACTATGCTAGAAGCCTCTGACACTGTATTTCTCTCTCAAATTTTATGTGTTTTTATTTTTGCTTTATGTATTTATTGCATACCTGTGTCCACATAACATTTTATTTACATTTGCTTACTTTTTAATCCTCTGTTCTACAGGGTTATAAAACAGTGCAGAAGTATCCCACTTTCAAATCCTGTCTAAAGAAGGAACTTCATAGCAGATAAGTATGTTAGCGTCTCTAAATTTGTTCAGTAACAAAGGAAGGGTCATAATCTATTTTTCTATGATGACCTTTAGGAAATCCCTGAAAGAAATAGACTTATAACTTATTTTTTATTTTTAGGCCACTAATTCAATTTACAAATTATTCTTCTAATGATTTTAGACCAGTAATTTAATTTAAGAATTAGTCATTACAACAAAGCATTGGTTTGCTACTATTAAGCTGTGATGCAAAAATGAACTAGAATAAATACTCATCTGACTGGAATTCTCTTGGAGTGTCTCGAAAGAAAAATTTTCTGTTAAACCTACAGTTTTGTATCTGAGCAGATACAGTATAATGACTCCAAGCAGGATTTTCATCATCTAGGACCATTAGCATCTAAGGAATATTAGTTACCGTTTTGTAGGATCATGTCCAAACATCGGCTGCAATAATAACAGGGAACTTTTTAGAGTTATTTTAGGTGCCTGGCCCTGTACGAGGTGTTCCACGTGTAGAGTCAGAGATAGATGTCCCATTTAACACCAGGGAAAATAAAGACGTAGTGAGTAATTACCTAAGATAACTTGCTAGTCAATGGCCCGCTAGGATTTGAGCCTCATTCTGTCTGATGGCAAAGCCATCTTATTTTTTTGTTACTAAACTATCACCATAGAATGCAGTAATTGAGAAAGATGCAGGAGATTCACTGATTTTGTGTCAACCCAAAGAAATAACTCATATTTGCTGCTCATCTCCAGAATGAGAGGTTTGCCTTTCCTTTTTTCTTGTAAAAGCCTATTGTAGCTATAAAATGTTGGTTGATTGTGGGTTCTGATTAGTTAGGTCTGGACAGTGAATGCTTGCAAATATGTATATTTCTTGCTATTTCTCTTGAGCTTGAAACGTTTGTATTTGACTATAGCAGTATCTCCCAAAGTGGTTCCATAGGATATCAATGTGTATTATTCTAAAAAACAAAAAAAGCTGCTTGGTCAAATAAGCTTGAGAAATACTATAATAAGCATGGTTCAGTAGGTTTCTTCCCCCTTAGAACTTATCAGATCTTAATATGCCACTATTTATTTGTCTCTCTAAGAGAAAACCAAGTATCAGCTATTTTGCAAAGCTTTCAGATCTGTTTTTATGGAACTCATTTGGGAAACTCATGTTGGATCTAAAATGTTTAGAGGCAAGTAGGCTTATTTATCTATCTAAGGTGGTAACTGTTGAGTGAGCAAAAGAAGTCAGGTCTTCTTTGTCTCTATTTGAAGGAGCTTTATACTCCCTATAAGAATTTAAACTAACATTAAAAAAAAGTAGAACCCTATCATTTGTTCATTTAGGTAGTATTCCCAACCATGTAGTAGTACATAGACTGAGAGACAAAAACAACATTTCTTTTAGACCTTTACAATACCAAAGATTAGACAAGTTACTAAACAAAATACTCAACTTTTAAGTTAAAGTTTTAGTTAAGTCTTTGAATCTTGTATTTTCTATCAAGTGTTTTCATTATGTGCCTTACTGTTTCACATTAATATCATAATAATAGTTGATTAATGCCATCACTCTTGGTTTCATCCTATATAAATATTGCTTACATATATATATATTTTTTTTAATTAGGTACTTCCAAAGCAAAGTTTTAAGGATTATTATCTACAAAACGATGCAAGAAGCACAAATTTCAGAGAATGGAAGCAGATCTGAGATCAGAACATGTAGAAATGAAGGAAAAGATGAAATGCTAATTATAATTTTTCTTGACAGAATTCTTGAACATAAGACACTTAAAATGCATCTTCTCACTAACTATACATGTTATGTGTTATCAAGTTGAGCTTTTGCCTTGATTTACTGAACTCTGTACTTTTTCATTCCCTTCACAAGTATATAGATACTTCCAATGACTATATAAGAATGTATTTAAATTTTTTATTTATTTATTTATTAGAAATTGCCTCATTTCAAAATAATGTATGACTCCTGGAATCTAGATCCCTTAAAAATTAACAGCAACAACATATTTTCTTTGGTTTTGGACTGTGAACTTATTTTCAGAAAATGAATATTCCTTGAGATTTATTTTAGGGCCTTTAGAATTGTTGAAAAATCCCCATTATTACCAGGTTTTTAATTACATTAAAATAATTTTGAAAAACAAATAGAAATTAAGCTAATGTATAATATACTGTGATGGTTTACATTGTACTTTGAACATTTAAAACTACTTAACATATATTGTGTGAAGCATATGAAGTTTTTAAAAAGTTTTTGCTCATTTACCAAAGTCATCAGAATGTCTGTTATTCTTTTATGTATACAGTAAAGAAATGTAAAATGTAGATACTTTTTTTTCCTCAAAAAAGTCCCATCTCGCTGGTGGAAAGAGTAGCATTTTTGGCAGCCATCGCCATCCTTGCTGTTCTGGTCCTGGACACGCTTCTCCTCCTGTCCACAGACGGCGTACATTCATACCACTAGTCAGAATAATCTCCTGCAGCTTTGTGACCTATTGCACATCGTTAGTCCGCGAGTGCTATAAAACGCAAATATGAAATGGGGGCGCCTGGGTGGCTCAGTTGCTTAAGCGACTGCCTTCGGCTCAGGTCATGATCCTGGAGTCCCGGGATCGAGTCCCGCATCAGGCTTCCTGCTCGGCAGGTAGTCTGCTTCTCCCTCTGACCCTCCTCCCTCTCATGCTCTCTGTCTCTCATTCTCTCTCTCAAATAAATAAATAAAATCTTAAAAAAAAAAAAAAACGCAAATATGAAATGGTTTAGAAGAGCGATGTATATATTTGGTAGAAGTTAATATTTTGTTTCTTGTGAAAGGACCACATGCCAGACAGCCAGTAATAATGAATAATTTAAGTGTAATTCATTATTTCAAAACAATATGACTTAAAGAGAAAAAAACTTTCTAGTGAGAAACAAAATTAGACGTTCACATGGAGAAAATAATTTGATAGTACTTAATGGAAGTCTCTTCAGTTAAAAAGTGTAGTTTATAAAAGGATACTGTGCAAAAATTAAAAAATGAATTTAAGTTAGTATATATTATATGTGGAAGATAAGTTCATTTATCTTCTTTTCTAAGATGTATTTAATGTAAATTGTACATACTCTAGCTATTATCTTGCTTTTGCATATGAAAATGGGAAATACTGACTTTGTTTTTGTGAGTTTTGTGAGGTATTAATGTGAAATTGATAGTTCTGCCTCAGCCTATTTATAAAAGTAATGTTATTTCCAAGAAGATGTTACTATTAGCATTGACTATGTATTTGTTAAACTTTTTACATTCTTTATCTGGTATTATTTCATACATTGCTATAGAAATATATGATTAATAGATTTGAAGATTCCATATAGTATAATAATTTAATTTCACCTGCTTTGAAGGTTGATTCAATTGATTGACTAAATGAAAGTGCCAGCCCACTCATTTAACATGCCCAAAGTCTATTTTACCTTACACTGGATGTTCTCAATATTAATTATTTGCTATCCAGGATAATTGAGAAATGCAATTTACTTTTATATTTAAGTTATATTATCTTGCCTACATGGAGAAATTGCTATTGAGAACAGTTCTTTAAATAGAGATTTAAAAATGAATTAGCTCATTAAAATTCTTTATAATTCTCTCACTCTCCAAAGGCATACTACATATGCAGTCTTCTTTGCTTTTCAGTGTAAATGAATATTCCTCTATAAGGCTGCAGCATAATATTAAAATGGGAATAAATAAAATATTCTGATAAATTAAAATGAGAAAGAGTAATTACAGTGATTCCCTCTGTATTATCACTGCTGAACTTTATCATCTATAAAATGGGAGGTGAAAATCTCTCACTGGATTATTGTTTACATTGATTAAAAAAATTTTAATGCTTTGAAAACAGTAACAGACTAAATACATGTATGCTGTTACTCTCAGTTATTTCCTTCTACAAATTATTCTGTGGGAACATGAAGAAGCTATACGTAAATTTTAGTATCATACTCTCTACAGAAAGTCTACATGTTAAAAGGTTTATGCTATTTCTCAGAATCATTTCATATTGAGAAATTCATTTAAATCCTAGTTTATTGTTCTTACTATAAAATACAATTGTAAAGCAACCTGTTGTACATTCTTAATATTATCTCAAAATGAATATACCTGCCCTTAAATAGAGAAACTTAGTACTTTGTTTTTATGTGTATCTGTGGACTAATGTCTTTCTGAAAAATGTCACCTCCGAACTTTGAAAATTTTTGTTGATAACCAAACCAACACTGATCTTAGATCTTAGACCCTCTGGTATAGCAATACATGCCAATGAGATTAATCTCATTGGTATTTTAGTAAGTGTAAATAAATCACAGAGCCATAAGCTTCTCAAACTGTATAATAGGAATTCATATAGAGTTAGAGAGTTTCATGTGACTGAATGGAATATCAGTTTTGTTTTACAGTACTGATTGTTTAAATGTCTTAAAATAATTAAACCTACACTACAGCAGACCCTGTTTTACTAATGTTAGTACTTGGTAGGCATCATTTTACTAAGACAACTCCTACTGTTTTATAGCTATATGTTAACATTTTACATAGTGCTTTTACTCCCATAGGCTGTAAAAATATGAATTGTATAATATTCACTAATGTTAAAATAAAAATTCTAAGTGATAAGAAAGCATTGTGGTTTTTTCTTTTAATTGACAGCATTTTTACTTTGTGTCCTGCAATCAATCACATCTTATATTCTGTGAAATACTGTATGATGAAAACCAACGCAAAGATATAATTCTCTATATCTTTATAATTATCATTAGATCACAATCAGTATTTTTGGCAGACATCTTAAAAACTGAGGAATATACCTATAATTGTGACTATAGGCACATAAATATACAACGCTGAGAGGAAATGAAAACATTATTATGAAAGTTTTCTGGAAAAGATAAATTTAATCCAGTGTTGTAAAGGAAGAGAAGGACAAGCAGTTATGGGAAACAGGATAGAGAAAGTAAGAAGAGAATGGAGAAGGGATCTGAGTGAGGAAAGATTTTTTTTTTTAAGATTTTATTTATTTATTTGAGAGAGAGAGGATGAGAGACAGAGAGCACAAGAGGGGGGAGGGTCAGAGGGAGAAGCAGACTCCCTGCCGAGCGGGGAGCCCGATGTGGGACTCGATCCCGGGACTCCAGGATCACGACCTGAGCCGAAGGCAGTTGCTTAACCAACTGAGCCACCCAGGCGCCCGAGGAAAGATTTTTTAAACCTGGATGGAATAGAGGCACCTGGGTGGCTCAGTCGATTAAGCGGTTAAGCATCTGCCTTCGGCTCAGGTCACGATCCCAGGGTCCTGGGATCGAGCCCCGCATTGGGCTCCCTGCTCAGCGGGAAGCCTGCTTCTCCCCCTGCTTGTGCTCTCTCTCTCTCCCTCCTCTCTCTGTCAAATAAATAAAAGAAAGAAATTGGGATTGAATAGACAGTTTTTAGAAAAATAAATTTAAAGACATGCAAGTTAAATCAATGACAATATATCCTTTCCCATATCAGACTGAGGAGATGGAGTGGTTTGGAACACGGTGTTGGTTAAGCGTGCGTGGCAATTACTGGTGAGGCCATACATTTGGGTGCAGCACCTTTGGAGGGCAATATCTAGAAATAGTTCCAAGTGCTGACCTAGAACTTTACTTCTGGGATTGTAATATCCCAATACATACATTCATAAATTTGCATGCCAACAAATCTATCTACAAAAACGACACTGCATGTAACTATGAAAAAGAATGAAGTCTGCTTATCGTGCTGATCTGAGATGATTGGCAAGGTATTTTTATAGGAGCACAGCAAGGTACAGAAGGATCTACAATATGCTGTTTCTGTTCAAAACACACTTTCATTGCCTAGACTTGTATTTTAATGTATCTTTATCAAAGTTATATGTATATATTTCTGAAAGTCAAAGAGCTCTAGAGGGTTAAAATAAAAACCAGCATCTCTCTTCCCCTCAACCCTCACTTCTGCTTTCAGAGGCAATGCCACTTTCTAATCTTGGGATCTGCCTTCCTATTTCAGCATAATATGTTACACAGATACTTACTGATTGATTTAATTTTTTAGATTACTGACTGTTGACTTCCTACAAAGGAAGATGGGGGTTTGGCTGTCTTATGCAATCCCCCTCCAAGACGGACATTTCCCCTTCCCCATCCTCTTCGTATAGTTAGAACATAACTTTAGTGAAATCAATTATTACAGCATCATCAGTTACTATATTGCCTTTCTTATACATCTTCTTACTTTCCCTAGAGTTCAAATTTTCACCTTTTCAGCTTGCTTAATTTTTTGTGTAATTCTCATGTACCTACCCGTCACAAATTCAACCCCAGACTCATCTCCAGAACTAAACATATATTGTTAATACATTCCAACACCTCAGGTAATAGTAAGTTTTTAATCATAATTTTAGAAATGCCTCCCGGGGCTCTCACTCCATCTACAATGGTTGTTTTCTGGTCCTGATGCAGAACTTCTGCTGCTGGGCGGGGGGGGGGGGGGGGGGGGGGGGGGGGGGGGAAGGGGGTGGAGGGGAGGGGGAGGGGATGGTGTTGGTTCAGGAGGGAGCTTGAGATCTAAAGGCTTTATAAACAGAATTTCAGTAAATCTTATTTACAGTGCCAGCTTCAGAGGTATCTGGATCCTTCCATTCTTAAGCCTTTCGGGAACTCTGCAGGGTGAATCGGCCTCTTTGAGGGTGTCGCTCTGTTGCAGGCATTTAAGTTCTCTTTGGTAATTACCATCTGTTCCTGAGATTTGAACATTTTGTGCCTGTACTCTCTTGTCCCTGAGAAAGAAAGCAATGCGGGCGCCTGGGTGGCTCAGTTGGTTAAGCGACTGCCTTCGGCTCAGGTCATGATCCTGGAGTCCTGGGATCGAGTCCCCCATTGGGCTCCCTGCTCGGCAGGGAGCCTGCTTCTGCCTCTGACCCTCCCCCCTCTCATGTGCTCTCTCTTTCTCATTCTCTCTGTCTCAAATAAATAAATAAAATCTTTAAAAAAAAAAAAAAAGAAAAGAAAGAAAGCAATGCTTTTCTGTCATTTTGGATGGTTTCAGGAGGGAGTGGAAAAAGTTGTGTCCCAAACAACATATTTAACCTCCATACTTAGAATATATCTGGAAGTACCCATACGGAACTCAACTCGGTCACCTGTGGGGATGGGGCCATAGGTCTATTTAATGAAGGGGACCATAAGCTCATATATTTAATGAGCTGTTATTGGGCTGTTTGGGTGTTTTTACCGTGTTTTTTGTTTTTTGTTTTTAAGAAAAGCACGTTTTTAAAACTTAGGATCTCAGTCCAGAAAAAGTCGGAATAAACCATGAAGGTCAGGTGCTGGGTGGATTTATTCACCAAATCCAGAGTTAGGTTACTTTTTGAAGTGGACAGAGATGGTTTAAAAAAAAATGCAGTGGTGATTGTGAATTTATGGAACATCACATGATTTCAGCTTGGATGGCAGGGATGGCAAAGGGATTAATTGATAAAGGAATGGTGGTGGAAATAAATCAGTATGATTAAAAAAGATGGAAGACAGGGGCGCCTGGGTGGCTCAGTCGTTAAGCGTCTGCCTTTGGCTCAGGTCATGATCCCAGGGTCTTGGGATCGAGTCTCTCCTTGCTCAGCGGTGAGCCTGCGCTCCCTGCGCAGGGGAAGCCTGCTTCTCCCTCTCCCACTCCCCCTGCTTTGGTTCCCTCTCTCGCT